AATGAATTAGTAAGCGTAACGCATGTGCAGGAGGATCGCAATGAAGATTTGGGTGCCAAAGCCTTTCGTACCATTTCACGTGGTTTGGGTAAATTGTGGTTTAAACGCACACATAGCGTAGAGATCAGTTCACCAGATCCAGAGTTTAAGGTGTCTTATTTGGGCAACGTGCTTACTGGTTGGGCCAAAGGTAAGCAAAGAAAATAAATTTTTTTTACAAATATTTGAGAGTATCTATTTTCCTTTTAGGTGAAGGTTGTGTTGAGAAACAACTGAATACACTTTGGCGAAACTATACTCAAAACAATAAACCAGATGTTATTATGCGTATTAAAGTTTGTGCTTCCGGCTTAAAAGCAACCACTAGACAACATGGACTGACAGAATATTGGGCGAATCGGATTACACATTGCTGTGCACCAAAAAATTATCCACGTGTATTTTGTTGGGTATATCGGCACGAAGGACGCAAACTCAAGCATGAATTACGTTGTCATGCAGTGCTATGCAGCAAGGAGAAAGTTGTGCAAGAATTATGCAATACTCTGAAGGTAAATAAATCTTACATAAGATTGATCTACGAATAATATTTTGAATAACAATTTTATTTTGTTCTCCAGGAAAACTTAGAGAGCGCTCTACGTGAATTTAAACGTGAAAAAATTCTTAAGCAGAATGCTCGTCTCAGTCTTGCTAATGCAGCTTATGATAATCCAAGTTTGCCGCGTCGCAAAATACTTTTAAGTGTTGGTGGTAACAATTATCGGCCACCATTGGAACGTTCCAAATCTGCACCAAAGTTGATGGCGATTGAAGAAGCTATTGGTGAGGAAGATGGCGATGAGATTGAAGAGACAAATGAACCGGAAATGAAATCATGTTGTCAGAAGGATTCGCTTTACCCAGCCATGACATTAGGGCGCCGTCGCTGTCGACGTGGACACTCTATTAGACGCACAGGTAAAGTAAGATCGACATATAATGACTTGATGGAACATGAACATGGCAGCGGTTGCTGTAAAAATACCAAAGAAATCAACACATCAACTATCACAAATGCTAATGCTAATGCTAATGCTATAAGTACAACAAGTACAACAGTAAATGAACAACGTCATAGTTATGGTTCAGATGAGTCTGATGAATTTGACAAATTGTTAAAATACAATAATTATGATAGCAATGCTTCTCTTACAAATGAGTTGTTACCATACTTTGACATGCAGTTACACAAGAATACAAGTGCTAGTCTGGGCAGTTTAACCGAATTAAGAGACGAAACAGAACCATTAAGCTTATTGCCCACCATAAACAGTGATCCATCCGCAGATCCTGAGGGAGACTTTAATCCAAATGATAACTCGAATGATTTGGTTGAACCAGAAATCTTAGGAATACGCCGTAATGGTGTGTGCAGTGACGGTGAAGAAGATTATTTAGATGCAGATGATATGTACTTTAGGCAAGCCAGCATACTGAATATGTTGCATCGCAATTCTATGCGTAAAATGACTAATTTATCAATGAGCAGTGACGAAAGCAGCATTGAAACAAATGCATCTGCACCTTTGCAATATCATCATCAAATGCAATCATCTATTTCATCAAACGCCTCTTCGATAACAACTAATGCTTCCACTACGGATAGTACAACACAACAAAAACCATTTAATCCAGACAGTGATGAAGGTTCCATATCGAGTGGTTGCGAAACAGCGAGTATAGCAACAGCAAATCAAGATGATATTTCCTTACAATATCAACAACAATATAAACAGTTAATATCGCAGCATTCAGCTCCTGCAGCTTTACAGTATGTCGAACAATTGCAAGAGAATAGTGTTCTCCATGAAGAACCTATAACGGTGGAAGAAATATACCAAAGGCTAGAATCACGTTTAAAAGGCCGTAATAATAGTGATGCTACTACGTTCAGTAGTTCAAGTTCTATTACTCTGAAATTAGGCAATTCACCCACTGCATCAATGAATGGTTTAGACAATTTAAATGGTGGATTAAATCGTACTCGGCGTATACGACGACAACAGAAACCACAAAATGATAATGACTCTGATTCTGAATGTAGTGATGAATCCGGTTATGTTGAATTTCAGGAAAAGGAAAAAGCTATCAAAAGAGCTATTGGAGCTGCAAATGGTAATGGTCAAACCAAACCACAGCCTCCACCAAAGCCAATGCCTCGAAGATTGCTGAGTGCTACACAAAAACAAACTATAACTTCTGTTTAAAGTTAGTGTCAATTAAGACAATTACTATTTTATGCAAATCCAAGATGCATTGGTTTGGAATTTACCTGAATTACTTTTGCGTGTTTGATGAATATGTTATCGATATATTTCGATATATGTGCGTTGAATATATTCCATGAGACTGTAGGAAAAAATGAATGACATTACATTGCAAATTTGGAGGCAACTATATAATACGAGTATATATAATATGTATATGAAATATAAATGCTATTGTAAACTTAATGGTCAGGTTATATTGTTCTATTATTACATATGAAATTTAAAACTAATTTATTTTAATAATTAAAATTTGTACAAATTCCATGTAGTTCACAAAATTATTATAATATTAATTATTGTATATAAATTTATAACTTTTTATTGTACTAATTTTTGTTTATATATTTTCTTTGCTGTTGTTTAGTTATAAATTTGTTGCATCACTCTTTATCATGTACATTTTCCTTCAACATACATATATTTTTATTATATTTTTTTTTGTATATTTTAGTAAATAAGTTAAAAAAAGCTTTACTTTATTATTTATAAGTTTATAAATACGAATTGCAAGAAAAGAATTTTGTGGCGATTTAAAATTATAATCTCCGATGAATATATATTTATAATTGAAGTTTGTATATGAATTTATTATGAATATTTGTATATAAGTAATTTTTTAAGTATATAAAAATATAATTAAATAAATACATATATATTGATGCATAATAAGAGATTTTTGTATTTAAACTTATTCATAAAAATTTATTACGAAAGAATGATGTCTTTAGCACTTAAAGATCTTAGGATTTTAGTATTGTTTAAAGTTAAGTTTTTATACATACTAGTATAATAATTAACAACAATATAGTACCTGTCTGTAGATGAACTCTTTGCTTCGAAAGCTTTGTGAGTAATACTCTTAGAAAGTATGAGTCATTTAAGTTGTAATAAAAAATAGCTCGGTTATATAACGTTGTTGTTTTATATATCAAATATCATTTGCTACATAAGTAAATGAATCATTTCGAGCTCTTAAGTGCTCGGCGACTACTTATGCAGTTCCAGTAGCCGAAACCGAGATTTTATTATATAAGAAATTGAAGGACCAACTTCATCTATTTGTATATAGAGTTGTACTTTTTTCGTACGTTTCACCCAAAATAGTTTTACTAATTGTCTAGAAAAAAATTCATGTCACATTCTCTGCCATTATTCAGTTTTGATATAAACCATGAGAGGGCTGCGATAATAACTCTTAATACCGTCTAAGATGTTCAGTGTGTGGTTATAAACTTGTTTTAATTATGTTTAAGATTTATTGAGGTCGCAGTGTTATACCTTCGCGAATCTTTGACTCTCTGTTATTTACATTTATAACAAAGTAACCGAAATGAAATATTATTAATGCATCTTTTTGTGCATATGATTTTTATATATGAATTATGTTTAAAATGTGAACTAACGATAATAGTTGGTAAATATTGTATTGCAGCTAGAGGCAAGATAAGGTACAAGATACTTAGCTCGGTTAGTTGTCATAATATATACACTTCCCAATGTAACCTAAAGTGTAAAAGTGCACTTATGCCGTCATTAGCATTTTTTTGTGCCTTCAAAAATTTAACTCTAAAAAGGAGTTAACGACTAATCGCATAATCTGTGCGATCTGTAGGAACCTGCAGCTCAGATTAGAAAACTATATGAAAAATATATAGTAGGTTCTAGTGAATCTGCAGATTCATTGGAATTATTCAATAATTTGCCCTCTCTTTGCTCAGAACTACAGCGATTGTTGTTGCTGCACTATGTAGCAACGAATATGGATGCAATTACAATACGTATACATGGATTACAATCTTAGTAGGTGAGAGAAAAAGGGTTGTTTGAGATGATAAAATGATAAGTGTGCGTGTGTGGATGCTTATTGAAATTAGCCTTAGTCGAGATCAATGGGTCAGTGTTATAAATAAATAGTGGTCAGACACAGATATAATAGCTCGCATAGATAATATAGCTCGCATTTTCATGACAACAGGGAGAGCATCGCAATGAGCAATAGATGTCTGTTAGGGGTAATTTTAATATTTGTATTAACACGTACCCTTTCAGATGAAACAAAACTAACTCAGACTGCTCACTGAGATAAGCAGATAAGTATTTAATGGTGAATTAGGATAATCGCTTTATCATATCTAAATAAAAAATATATAAAAAAATTATTTTTTTAGTTTTTGTTTATTTTGCTTTGTTTATTTTGAAATAATATCTATAGATTACACAATAATTATGCAGTGTTCTATTCCAGTACAAGATCACAATCTGCAAAATGTATTATGTAGTAACAATAAAATAATACCGAAGCAACAAATACGCGCAGTGTAGTCGTTTCCACAAAATCTTACTGGCACGCTGGATTATGAAATCCGATAATGCCTCGCTTCTGCAACAAATTGCAAATGGTGCCACGAAAATCGCGTAGTGAACTGTCCTGAAGTTGTTGGTTGAAAACCTGTAATGTGTGTATGGTGTGTATATGTGTGGCGTCAAAAAAGTTGTTGAGTAAAAAAAAAGTTTAATTGCAATAAAAACAAGTGCAAATAATAACAAAAACAAAATATTATGCAATTTAATAGTATAGATCTTAAGTGTTCATATAGACTTACGTTGTCATAAACAATTGTTGGTACAAAAGTAGGCGCGTAAGAGTGTGTTACACGTTCCGCTTTTAACTGCAGATAAGTGCCCAATTCAGTGTGCATACACGCGTCAATATCGTTTGAAAGACCAACTTTTTCAGCGCACTATAAAAATTATATATATAAATATATTTGTATATAAAAGCAATTGTAAATAATCATATATATTTATAGCTAAATAAATGTTTCAAATAAAGATATAATTTTTATAATTCTCTTAATGCATTTGTGTTGTACTGTACAGTCACCTTTCAATGAAATGATTAATAATAGTATAGAACGTGATACGAGTATACATATTTTTAAATATTTTTAATCTAAATTTTGTTTTACTATTGAAAATATTTACATAGATTTTTTTTATACACATTTTGCTTAATTTTATTGTTTTTTTTAGTGCAGAGCACTATTTTATCTATATTTTCTTAATCCTTTTTGTGGTACTTTAAACACTAAAGTACAGTACGCTTACTTTGGGATAAGGATATTTTCAATATCTGATTAAAGTTAGTAAAGAATATTGAAGATTTATATTTAAAAAATAAAAATTACTATAACATAGATGTAATGTTATTTATTTTGTGTCATCCTTCTCTACGAATGAAGCTTGTTTACTTAAAGATCTAACAATATTAGAGTGTTTATTTAAAGTAGAATACGATCTGATTCTTCCGATTATTATAATGAAAATGTTGGTTGCATAAGTAAGTATGTAAAAGGTTTTTGCAACCCAATGATAGCGACAAAAATATATATACATATATAAAGTCAATAAATAAGATGTTCAAGAGAGAGAGAAAGAGAGTGATGGAAGCTTTAGGAAATAATGCATTGGTATAAATAAGACCTTATATATGAATATATGAAATAAATGAATCTTATGTGAATTTCAAATTGGACAAATGAGTTTTAAGAATTTATTCATCTTATCTGTTAGCCATTAATGGCTTCAATCGCTATAAAAATCAGTCCAAAAATGTTGTTGTTTTTGTTTATATAACCGGATTTGAGTCAGATAAACACAAAATACAAACGAAATTCAAATTGGGAATAAAAGTTTAGCGTGAATTCCGATAGTGGCGGATTATAATAAGAAAATGTATTCAAAAAAGTTAAGTTACTATTTAAAATCAAAGCTTAACCTTTGGTTTAATAAAAGTTTAAAGTTTGAGGTATATTGCACTTTTCTCTGTTGTATAAAAGAAGTTCTTCAATTTTTATGATACTATTCAGAGTCATCTAATTCTTATAAATTATTGCAACGACTTACATTAACGTAAACCCAGCCGCTTCTAAACAGTGCGTTAAAGTCTATAATGTTAAAGAAATCGATATAAGTTAGCAACTTTTTATGAACTGGCTTTAAAGAAACTTTTAAATATAAGGTCTTAAAAATCAGAAAAAATGGAATTGAATATAATATTATAAATATAGGATTTGCATTTAGATGTGCTTTATGTATATATTCACATAACTATGCAATGAAAACTATGTGCTATTTTACTATTATATTTACTATTTTACTTACATATTTTCCAGTTAATTTATCTTCAGCGGTCATTTGGCAAACAGCAAACTTTACTTGTGTAGTTTGATCACTCGTCTGAAGTAGCATACAAGACTGCAAACGATTACCCTCGCACTCGCTAGGTCCATGTTGACAATAGAACTCAGCGCCATTGTTTTGTGACTATGTACAACATAAAATTTGTTTTTATCACATGTCTGTATTGTAATAGGAGTAATTACTTTACTTGTGATTTTCCAAATGGTATCAAAGATATATCAATGTAATCTTTCAGAAGATCGTATGATGGTCCCAGTTGTTTTGCCATAAAACGTATGCTGTCAGGACACAGCGACTCATATAATATCAACACATTAAGCTGCACATAAAGCATATTAGTGTATCAAATAAATTTAAATATACAAATAAATGTATTTATTTAAAATATCTTACAAACCTTCTTCTGCTGCGCCTCTGAAACAATGCCTAAACATGCGATTGCTATTATGACTAATATAGATCGTAAATTTAGCATACTGCAAGCCTTTCAAATAACAAATTTCCTGAGTCTGCAATTGCGTATATTTGTTTATTAATTAATTAATGATTATTAACACTTAAACGTTTTGCTTATATGCGAAATTGCGGTGTTAACCCCCCAATGTCTCGACGGCGATTGAATTTTACTATTGATTGTGTGCTGCCAATATTGCGATGGTCAACAGTTCGCATTTGCTCATACCGTCTTAACCTCAGTGCCGATGTTGAATCTTAAGCCGGTTTAAGCTAATGTTGTGAAGGTTTTGCAGCTCTCTTAAGTTCACTCACTTGTTTACACTGCCAATATTCGTGCACATGCCAACTAATTTTCTCTTTTCATACTTTTTACATACTGTTTTGGCGGCTATTTTATGTTTTTCTTTAGCTATATATGTATGTGTATATCTTATGGTTAATTTGTCTATGTCAATGCTTTCTTTTAAATATTTTAAACATAGACTAAATTAAGGAACATCGTAAGCATTTATTTTTGAAATGTTCGAATCTATATATACGACATGTTAGTGAAATAAACGTATGTCAGTGCTTAAGTATCTTAACCAAGTATCATAACTTTTTTTGGATATGCGAATACCTGGTGTTACATATTTTTAAATGTTATATGGCCTTATATGACCCTTTTGCAAGGTGATATGACTGAGTTTAAGGCTGCTAGTATTGGAAGTAGATGTTAGTTCTTTTAATTATCTTGCTGATAGGACATCAGCTTCAGTATTTTAAAATAACGATTTTATTATGGAAATGAAGATAATTATTTCTAAAACATTCCTATTCAATCTAACAGAATTAATTTTAAGGTTTCTAGAATTGTATATCAATATTTGCTACATTTGTTATCCGTTAGATCTTTCAGTATCGGTACCATCACTCAAGACATTCCTTTACAATGCATATTAGGCACAGCATAACTGTAAAGTTCTGCTACTCTTTTCGATATCATGGAATCAATCGCGTTTTATTTCAAAGTTTTTGTGGTATCTATTTTTGTTCAAAATGCTACTGTAATCTATTTAAAACATTTCGTTAAATCGCATTATTTTGTTATGAATTTAAAAAGATTTTGATAGAGTTTTGATAGTTACGGTTACTGATAATTGCACTAGCATGATCATATCTTTCAATTTGGATAAACTGAAAGTAATATCTTTTGTATATTAAAAATCATAATACTAATAATAATACTTTTGAAAGTTATAATATAAGCCTATAGTATTCGTATTTTTCTACAAACCTTTAGAAAGTTGTAATTATATAGTATAATTAATAGATAAGTCAACATGTTTAAATAACTAAAAAACGCACAAGTAACTGGAATTACTTATTTAATGTTTTAATTAAATATTTAGTAGCGTTATTTATCAACAAAGTCTGCCAAGTGATCAATGATATTAAAGTTTTGACTAAGTGGGACAAAATAAAGAAAATGTTCCATGGGTTCGTTGTCCTTCAAATAAAATAGACATAAGATTAGCCAATCTGGTGGCCGACAAAGATGTGATATTTAAGTTTTCAATAAAAATTCATTAAAACAATTAGTTTATATTTTTTATCACACAAACACTTCGTTGAAAATTTTTTAGCTTCCGTGAAGGTTGCAAAGTCCATAATTTAATACACATGCTTTGGAGAAATTTTGTTTTTGTATGTCAGTATAATCTATCTATTGAACTCAGTTTTAATACTGATGAGATATTAAACATGATTTTACTTCTTTACATTCAGTCAAAATAAATACCATTAAAATAGTAATTTTTAATCATTTGAATTTAAGATGATTAACTCACTGAACATACCTAAGTGTGTGAAAAGCTTATAAAATGTCGTTACATTTGAAAAATTATTTTTATTGGTTTCAATGCAAAAAATAATAACATGTGACTTATATAATGAATTTATAACAGTAAATAGTTAATAAAAATAAAATGTAAAATTATATAAAGCATTCAGTTATGTATTTTGGTAAAATTCTTATTAGTTTGCATTTATTCATAAAAAAATGTTTCCCGTAAAAGTGAGTTGGCAACGTAAGCAATTCAATTGGGTTTGACAGGTGCTACTTCGTGTTTATGGAAGCGTTTTCTTTAACAAATTTGTTATTTTTATTATTAACTTGAATTTAGTCAGTATTTTATTAAAAAAATGTGGACCAAAAAGGTAGACTGTCTTCTAAGCTTGATAAATTATATTAATATTACATGAATTGTATTTAAGGTAACAAGTGTTACCGGTATATATCCTGGTAGGTTTAGTAGCGTCGTCTGCTATATTCGCACTTGGAACCTCCACCACGTAATATGTCAAATATATCTATAAATATAAGGTTGAATTGGAATTTATCCGTGTGTCTAATTCCGTACCAGCGTTCATCTAATTTACTCAAATGATAAACAGGCAAGTATGTTTTGCAACAACAAATTTCCAAGGTGACATTCTTATATAATAGTATGTTTAACACCGTAATCTGTTTTGGATTTTTTTTTTTTGCAAGTAAGTTGTTATTATATATTAATTTAAGATTCAGTTTGCTACGTGAAAGTTGTTTATAGTTGGTGGAAAACGTGAAACACAAATCAACAATTTTGAATGAGGTACAAATATTCTTAACAAATTTTAGACTATAATTTGCTTCGAAACAATAACTTAGAATGAATCCTAATTAGGTAAGTCTATTATTATTATCTTTGCAGTATCTTTTTTACTTAGAATGCCAATACAAGTTTTTATATGGTAAATTTATTAGCTTTGTGTTAATAATATGTGCAGATTAGATAACCCACATAAAAGTGAAGAGCAATATTATCATATTACAATTCTTCTACTTTTGCTTGCTGTGCAATATAATCTGAAACATAAGAGCCATTATGCTTATTTACATTAAGAGATTGCTCTCCCTGGCGTTCATGTATTTATATTGTATATATTTTATTTCGTTAATAAATCATACAAGATAAAATCTTAATAAAAAGATTTTGTATTATTTTTATAGTTTTGTTGAAAATATGATTTTCGTACTTAACTATAAAAACAAAAAATATTTTTGAAACTAGAATGTAATATGGCGTTCACATTGGCCGAAAATGGCTCATTTTGAATGAGTCATTTGAAAGTGTTTACATTCGATGTAATTTGTTTGTTTTCATTTTAAACAGCTGATTTTTCAACTCGCCTGTTAAATTGATTTTTGACCTATGCCAAAAAAAACTTGCATGAAGGTTAAATATACCTTCAAACCTTACAATATAAACTTAAAACATATTTTTAACTTCAATTAATTACTTTTTGGGAAGTAGAAGTTCTAATAAGAGGTGCATCGTTTTCAAGAAAATGCAACCACCAAACATTTGTTTACCTTTTTTTTTGTAAATATGTCAAAAACACCTTTCTCAAACTGTCAAAATGCCATTAAGAGCTTTAATTTAGGGTTTGTTCAATGTATTCCTTTGTATTTGGAACGCATGCGAACGTCGTTGAATGCAGAATGTGATGGAATACCTCATTTGCGCTTGAAATTTTGTATGCAATGCATGCATTTTGTATGCATGATTTAACTGCTATAAGTGCAATATGCACTTTGGCTTACAAGTTTTAATTACATAAAAGCAAATCTACAAGTTTTCTGGGCAACAGAAAGTTTTCACAGAATAAAAAAATGCTTGTCAACCGATTTATCACAAAATTTAACACGAAAACTTTTCTAAATATTATTAACTGTTAATAATATTAAATATTAATATAAATATAAATACTTTTAATAAATCTATAATTTACATAGTACCAGAATGTGAGCCAAACCAATTACTAATTCATAGCATTGTAATTGTTTTCTTTACAACGCAGACCGTTTTATGCTGAAACACATACATATATATGACAGCATAGATCATTTTCATATAATTATACAAGAAGAGTTCAGACTGTGAAGGCTTTGGACATGCATACATTTTTAATATATAATAAACGTCCTTAATTTATACAAAATTAATTGAAATACTAAGTTTTCAATACGTAATATGAAAATATTTACATGCATACATTTTTAATATATAATAAACGTCCTTAATTTATACAAAATTAATTGAAATACTAAGTTTTCAATACGTAATATGAAAATATTTAATTTTTAAGCTTTTCTGTTGTTGTTAAACAATTCGAAACAGAATATGTGGTTGGCAACGTAAGCAGTAAAGGAGCTACTGACAGCCGTCAGCTGATATTTATCAAAATATTTTTATCAACATAGTTGGGCGTCATTGTGTGCATTTAGTTAAAATTTTGAAAAGTATTTAATCGAAAATAAATATATCGTTAACATGAAGAAAAAAGTATGAAATCATGAGGTATATAATCCGTGCTATAGATTTTTGTTAATGCATTTTAATTTATTTAGGTACTGCTTATGGGTAAAAGTGGATCTGGTAAGACCAGTATGCGTTCCATTATATTTGCTAACTACATAGCCAGAGATACAACACGTCTAGGAGCTACAAGTAATATATTTCCCAACTGTCTATTATACAAATTAATATTTAAATATCATTTGTAGTTGATGTGGAACATTCACACGTGCGATTTCTTGGTAATTTGGTTTTGAATCTGTGGGATTGTGGTGGTCAGGAAGGTTTTATGCAACAATATTTTGTAACACAACGTGATAATATATTTCGAAATGTTGAGGTTCTTATATATGTGTTCGATGTGGAAAGCCGTGAACTAGAGCGTGATGTACACTACTATCAATCTTGCCTCGAAGCATTGTTGCAGGTAAGTTGTTATTAAGATAGCCTTAAATTTTAAAAAAATAAAATTTAATTATATTTAGAATTCACCAGAGGCTAAAATATTTTGTTTAATACATAAAATGGATTTGGTGGCGGAGGAACAGCGTGAAGCACTTTTTAAAGATCGTGAAGAAGACCTAATACGACTTTCTAAACCAGGAAATGTCACCTGTTTTAGGACTAGTATTTGGGACGAAACATTATACAGGTATGTAACATAATTAACAATTTAGGAAAAATTGTATAATTTGCATAACAGAAAGAGTTTCCACTATGGAAAACAGTACTTTAAAAGAGAAAAATAATTTAAATGCAACTGCATCATCCCAGACCTTGGTCTATGTATATTTCATTACCTTGTTTGGTGGAACTTCCATAGTAATATGAAATTAATAATAAACACTAACTAAAGATAGTGATGAATGATTCTCTAATAATATTATTTAATCGTAGTTGTACGTGTATGTAACTGGGTGTACTTAAAAGAGATATTATATAATTTAGTTTTCTAAATATATGAAGAAATAGATATCTTCGAAATACTATTTTACTAATTTCTACTCTTTAATGTGTGCTTTTATATACATACTCGGCAACTAATATCGAATGTTTGAATAGTAATCTAAAAATCTGCTTTAATAGTATAAAACTTGAAAATAGTCTTATATACATGATTCTGTCATTTTTTTGACATGTACTAAGTATGTAGTACTTAAAATAAATGTGTTACATTTTTCTATCATCTTCTATATTCATTAATCTTAATTAACAAATAGTTATAGTGCATCATATTTTACTCCCAATTATTAAAAGTATTTTAAATACACTTGTTTGACAGTGGATCATATATCATATTGACAGTGGATTTATGATCCTAATTTTCAGACCTATTTTTTTTTCTGCGCAACTATTGTTCATTGTATACCTTCACTTACATCATAGTAACTAATGATTTAACTGTTGTTCTCTTATGTCAGCTCATACAAACCAGATATTGTTCAGCTTCAGCACGGAAACAAACGTGTCCTGATAGAAGTTGCGCTAGGCTATAATTTCTTTTAGGCTATAATTTTATATATGAAAGTATGTTCCTCCTATTGTAAAGGTATTCTATCTCTTCCCCTGTTCTATTCTTCACCTGCAAATAGGTTTTTGTGCAGCTATTCCGTTGCATTCTAAAATACGGGTATAAAAGTCACAGAATACTTGCCATACTAATTTATATGTATATGGTACAAAAATTTAATGTAATCAGAGTAGCATATATGAGAATCAAAATGATGACTTTGTCCATGTAATCCTCTCTTCCATATGTCAGCTTTTTTGTGTCTACTTCAATATTCCTTTCAATCATGAATAAGCTTGTCTTCACTTTTCTTGCAAATATAAATTCGTGGCTGAAAATATGTGGGTTGTTTTTTATTTTTTTATATATGTATATCATGTATTCTATTTGAGCTGTAAACTTTTTTTTCTCTAAGAGTCGATCGAATTTTTGTCTAGTATCTTCTCTGATATAAACCCTTTTTTGCATTATTTTTTATTAGTCGCTCTGTATGCCAAATCGCGCTATTCAGTTGTGGTCTGCGGTTCTACTTCAACAACTTCATTAATAAATCCTGTTAAATCTTTTAGCAACAACCATGATTCATATACCCAAAGTAGGTGTCAGATATATTTTTAAATTTTTCGATTATTGTTTCCTTATATTTTTGTTTTATGTCACTCTTTAATATAAGGTCATCATATTTCTTCTCAGTGGTTTGTCATATATTAATTCTTATCGCCAAGCATAGACATTAAAAAGTATGGCTTTGCAATGGTCGTAAATCTTTTAGTGGAACAGGTACAAGATAAGGGAAATAATGTTACAATTTTCGCATATAAGTAAAATTCAATTTATAAGCTATTAAGATATTTTCTATTATTAGATAATCTACCTATCTACCTATAGGTATATATTATTCTATCTTTGCGCTTTAGCTTGCATCTTTTATGGGTTACAGAAAAATATTTTAGAATTTTCTTTTAACAATAGATACTAACATATATCTATAGTCTGAAGAGACATTATGCTTTTGCGCTTTCTTATCGTTGTATCAACCTATTATAGTTGACTGATTTCACTGTAGAGTACACAGTGAAAAATAGAAATATTTTACCTCTTGAATCCTACTCAATTTTATTTTTTGAAGAATATGGTGTTTTGTTACGGTCTTAATCCGTTAGTGACGTTCGACATTTTTTATAATTGCAACATTGTGTGTATATGAATATATTCTCTAATTATATATCACCATTCCTTATACGATATGAATTTCAAAAACTTAAAGAGTACAATCTATTGTGTTGGGTTTGTAACATACTTTTTTATACTGATATAAGACCTTAATATATATATTATATATATATTATATATATATATATATATATAAATAAAAATTAATAATACATAATATATATAAAAAAAAAAAATAAAAAAAAAAATTTTATATACATTATCATACATTTATGCATTTTATCATAAAAATTTATTTTATCTATTATCATAAAAATATATGCATTTTATTATTGACATAATAAACCTTTCTTGTTCTTATTAGAGCCTGGTCCAGTATAGTAACAATGCTAATACCAAATGTAGCTGCACTTGAAAATTCACTAACACATTTTGCAAATGTCATCGACGCTGATGAGGTTTTATTATTCGAAAAAGCGACTTTCCTAGTTATTTCACATTGCCAGAGTAAAAAAAATCGTGATTCGCATCGTTTTGAAAAAGTATCGAATATTATAAAGCAATTTAAGTTAAGTTGCTCTAAACTAGGTGCCAAGTTCCAGTCTATGGAAGTACGTAATAGTGCGTTTGCGGCATTTATTGATACCTTTACCAGCAATACATACGTAATGGTTGTCATGTCGGATCCCTCAATACCATCTGAAGCTACTTTAGTCAATATACGCAATGCGCGGAAATATTTTGAGGAGCTTGAAAATCCAAACAGTAACGCTATAAGCCATCATCAGTATCACTGATACCAATGGAGCAGACAAACATAAAGTCTACATTATTCCGCTATGGCAGTGGATGAGTTATATAAATAATTGCTTTAGTATTTAAGTTTTTTGTTTTTGTTTCTCTAAATTTGATTTAATCCTAGATTTTGTTTACCATTTAATATAAATTATTTTAAATATTAAATATTGATAGGCTTTAATTGATACATTTTTAATGTGCAATTAATCTAAAGGCACACAAAAGCTTCCAACATTTGCAGTTTTTTTTTTTTTTGATTTTTTGTCATTTAACAAAACATATAACAAATTCTTACAAAGTTTATACAAATTTTAAAAAAATTTACTACAAATTCTTAAATTTCTATTTAAATAAGAAAATATATAAATTTTTTACACTTATACATATATAAAAACTTGAAAATTTAACTAAAGTATAATATTCTTTGAAATAAATGCATATATTTTGTTATCACAGTTAAAATGATTTGCATATCTCTTCAGTTGTTGTAGTATTACGAGTAGAAACGCCTAATTTCTTCTGATAATTTCTCTACAGAGTTCTCATCTACAGCTACAAAACGCTTGGCACCGCGACTAAAATAGTATATGTCTCCCGTGTAGATATCGAACCATAACGCGTGTATATGCAAATCATGCGATTCGAGACGTGCCTTCAGAAAACCATATGAGGCAATATTTGACATTTGTTCCAGTGTGTTAATTTGTGAAAGTTTGTCTTCAATGGCGAAACTATTCTCAGGATCAATGTACGCAACAAACCGTCTGTGTGGTGACTCCGAACTGAACACTAATGGGTCCTTCATACCATTATTCTGCCAATTGAGAAATCTATCAAGGCTTGTGTTGGCATGTGTGCAAAGCCATGCACGCAATGGAGACAGCCGTCGATTGCGCTGCGAGAAAAAAAATTTCTAAATTATGCACAGTTCAAATACATTGAAATATATATCGGATGATAATGATGACTTAAGCGTATGGAGTGTACATGTATTGTATGTTTATTTTCAATGCAGGTGCTTACATGAAAGAAGTGAAAACATTTTATTTGCTCACTTTTGATGCAAAATCTGGATCTCTCAATTGATAAAGCAGGTTCATTGCCTTACAGTCGCTATGGCCACATACGATAATATGTCTTATATCGTTCACCACACAACCCAATTCCAATGCGGCCGGTTCACAGCTGTAATGTTCATCTTGAAAATGTTGAGAATGTGGTATTAGATTTCCAGCATTACGCACTAGTAAAATATATAAAAAAATTATTTAAATTAAATTTTTCTCTTTGGTAATATTAACACATACATATCCTTGTATAAGCTTTATCTTGTTTACATACCTACAAACATATCGCCTACATGTGTATCAGTATATCTGGTCGGTATCATTCTACTGTCCATGCAAGTGAAAAAGACGGCCTTGGGCTGTAAATAATGTCAATGAAAATTGATGAAATATATACACACAATAAGAATATTATTAATGCATGTGTGTATATATGCTGATTATTTCGTGTGTTTATTATCTATAGAACTATAATTTTAGCTGCGAGATTACAAAAACAATTAAGAGTTCATTATATATGAAGCACTTCAAGTGATTGACAGAAGTATAAACGTAGATATATGTTCATTATTACTAGATAAAAAGTTAATAGTGATATATAGTATGTATACATAAACATTTATGGTACCAATTTATTGAATAAATGAGAGAATTCAAATTGCTAAAGTAATTGTAAGATATTTACAAATAAAATACCACCAATAAATATATTAAAAACAAAGTTGAAAATTAAGGGAAAGGAGGTACGTTGCTTTTGTGGCTAGTTTAAAAGGAAAACATGCACGCTTTGATTAGGATCTAATTAATGTAAGAAACAACGGTAACAGTAAAAACAAGTTTTAAATAATTTGGATCATTGTGCCTTCGTAATGAGGTATTTTATATCATGTTAACTGAAACATAGAGTAGAAAAAAAACACTTGTATTGGAAGTGAAGATGGCACGAAACGCGTTAGATTTCGCTCTCATAATTATTTAAAATGTAGTAACAACCCATAGGAGACTAGCCAGATACTGGGAAACTCAAATTACATTGTTAATATTGGGAAACCCAAATCTGTCGTATAAGAATTTTTCGCTGGGATCCAGCAGCAGGTGACAGGTGAAGGAGCTGCATATTAAAGTACATAGTGAGATCGTTAAGTATAAGAACATCAAGAATTGGTAAAATGATCAGGTTCGTTGAACAAAAGTTTGTAGTAATGCAATCTGTTACTCTATTATTTAAGTCTCGTTTCAGAAAATATAATATGGAGAATTTTTGACTACATATATGAGAGAGGGTAAACGACCATGTGTCACCCGCAATTTATCTAGTAATGGATTCAGTGGGAAAAACAAGCTCACTTTATTATTAGAAGAGAACGGAACCTTTGATTGACTCTTTGTCGACTTCGATAACGATGCTTATAGTCCAAAGTTATAGCAAATATTCGTAGTGGTTATGCAGAAGTTTTAAGTAATAGATTTTTTATAAAGGATTCTCGAGGGAGCTCAGAGTTATTTAATGTGATTACCTGTCGCGAAGGCTTAACACCACTGGTGCTCTTAAAATGCATATCGGTATAAAACACGAATAAACCCCCCTCGGTGGGAACGAGGTTAATCCAATATCTTTGTACAATCATTCTATTTGCATATATACGGGTTTTAACCATAGCCACAACACACTTCCTTTAAGAAGCAGACATCTTTCACCCCAGCTTCCGTGGTAATTGATTTACACTTCTGATTAATTGTCACAAGTGAAACTTATTCACTATTAGTGATACTCAAAATAATAGAGAGTGGCTCCTAATGGATTTTAGTCGCCTCTTACGACAAGTGTACCTTGTTTCGGTAATATTCTAACCCCTATTCCGAAGAAGGAGATTCTCGATGGAGAATTTCATTTTTCATTTTATGTAAAATGCAAATTTCGCTATTAAATTTTGATTTCAGTAATCCTTGTTAGAGGAAAATAAAAAACATCGGTGCAAAACAATTTTTAACTGTTTGATAATAAACAAGACCCATCTTTATTCAATAAGAAATATACATATACAGGAGAGTAAATACAAAACTTGGAATTTAAAGCAGACTGCAGTTTATATTGACGCGATGGAACGAAATTTCATCAAGACAATACCCTGTACCATTAAAATAGAAGTAAAGCAGTATGAAATAAGAATGTTGAGTTTCTACTTTTGTTTGGAGATACCTAATTTGTCTTTTAAAATCAGATAGATTGACTTTTAATACAATGTGGTTTGAAAATTCGTATGAAAAAGAAATAATGGGAGGAAAAACAAAAAAGAAGATATGCAGTTTACTAAATACAGTCAAACTTTCATAACTCGAACTTCTATAACTCGAATTTTCTATAACTCGAACCAAAAACAGTGCACCAAGGTTTTAGAGAGCAAATTATATACAATTCTGCTTCCATAACTCGAACTTCTATAACTCGAATTACTCTATATCTCGAACAAAAATTTTGTTCCGTGCCGATAGGAATATGAGTAAAGTGCATTCTACCTTCTGCTCAAAAAGTATCCGGATTTTTGTTAACTACTCCTTAAGTAATAGACCTTTTTCAAAATTTTTTTTCGTTATGTTGGTACACCCTTTCTTGACATATGGTAGAAATTTGAGCGCCATCTGTCAATTTGTTTGTTTACAGCAGCTGTTAATGTGAGACTACCTCAAGTGCATTTAGCGAATTTTACTATGGAAAATTCTTGTTGTACGCGATTTTTTGACCAAACACGGCACCACTGCCAGCGCTAAGGCACCATATTCGCCAGATCTGGCGCCGTGCGACTTGTTTCTGTTCCTGAAACTCAAATTGCCCCTTCGTGGTAAGCGTTTTGAGTCGATTGAATCGGTAAAAGAGAATTCGCTGAAGGAACTAAAAGCCATACCTGCACGGGCCTACAAAAATGGAAGAAAAGATTGAGTTAACCGTTGATAAAACCGAGATAAAATAAATTTGAAATAAAATTTAAATTTGTGTGTTTTATTTACAAAATCCGAGTACTTTTTGAGCATAAGGTAAAAGTCGAATTTTTGTTCTAAGTATAAATGCATTTTGCTGTTAGGGGAAATCCCTTTTTCCAAATCAAATGTTTAATTTTTTCTTTCTTATGTTGCTTCTGAATATTTTCCTTTACTATAACTTCTGTGCTTTATGTGATTTCAAATAAATAAATTTCAAAAATTCTCTAACTCAAAGTCTCCATAAGTCGAACGTTTTCTTTGCAAAATTGGACTTCGAGTTATGGAAGTTTGACTGTATGATCCAAAGCTACCTTGATTTTGATCAAATAATTTAGAAGTATGTAAATATTTACGATTGGTCTTTCATATCTAATGGATTTTAATGAATGAGAGTTCAAATCAATCTCGTTCTCAGGAACTATACTGCGAATTTGCTGTATTTAGGCTGTTCGATGTGTCCCCCTTCGCTACGAACATTGCAATAGATTTAATATACATTAATTGACAGTAGAGTCAATGGTAAAGACCGATTAAGAGTCATTCAAAAAAATATTTATTGTTATTTCTTTTGTGTAAATAAAAATAAAAAATTAAACTTTAAACTCATTAATTTGAATAACAAAACAAAAAATAAATAAATAAATAAATAAATATTAAAAAAGTATAAATAAACCTGAATTTCGAAAACGATTAAGTTTAATTTACTAATTTATTTTAGCATTTTAATTAATTCTATATACGAATTATTTTACCTCAGACGAGGTTCTAAATAAGCGGTTAATGATTTTTACTTAGCACTTCTAAAATACGACCATTTTAGCGAACTTCTAACACATTTTTTTATTTATTTTTGTACAAATCGCTCGAAAGGAAATCACGAAAAATGTTGTTTACATTGCTTACACATTTGAAAATAATTTTTTTATGCTCATTGCAAACGTCAATGAGCAACAGTCACTTCACACGAACAACAGCTGATGCAGGTTAAAACTGTGTGTAGTTGTAGTTGTAAAAACAACTACTGTGTTTATAAATAACTAAAGGAGTAAAGAGCGTGACGCAGACAACAAAAAAAACAAAACTTTAAAGAACAAAGCTCACCAACAGTGCTTGATTGCGCTGATATGGGCACAAGGGCAGGTGATACGCAAAAAAGAAGCATCGTATGTGTATGTGTGCGTTGTGCAAGTTTTTTTAAAAATATCAACAAACTTAAACGTGCACGAGACTCATTCACTTTGGCTTTATATCTTTTTAAAGTTATTTTCGTTGCGGCACAAGTACACTGCCGTATATGCAATAAAATTATGAAAAGGTTAACCGCTTAAAACAGACTAACAGATTAAATTTTAATTAAATTAAGATTAATACAATCACTTTTCATAGATTTTCCTATTTTATCGTTTCCTCACCTCAGGGTTATCACGAACTTTCTGAAATTCTTTCACCATTTGCTCACGCGTTGTATTGCGATAACGCATTATTCCACGCAAAATGCGCTCCATATTTGCTTAAAATGTTTCACTTAATTTTAGTTAATTATATTAATTTCTTCACTAATATTAAAAAAGTTTTAATATGATTTAATTAATAGCTATTAAAATTTGAACAAATTCTTTATATTGTATATATACATATGCACTCTTAATTGCCGCATTCAAATTCTCCGCAAACCAACGAATAAATTCCTACCGCGTCTCAACTCAAACTGGTCTAGTCAATGTACTTTTGAGGTGAGTTCACTTGAATTTGAGACTGTAAGCTCATTGAAATTAATCAAAAAGCTTGCGACAGTGTGGGGAAGTTCGTGGAATGTGGTAGAAGCAGCATAAACGATTTCAAATACTTGAATTCAAAATTTAGTGCTGTGTAAACAGCTTATACAGGGTTATCAAAACGTTCTTTAATAATTTCAATTGTTGAAAAGTTTAACTTGACTTAATATTTCGCATATAAATAATTTTATGAAATATTATTCAATTACAGAAGAACACTGCGTTAAATCAAATTAAATTATTATAATAAAGATTATTCTAAGTTGATTGCATTTTTAAAAACTAAAATGGTTGATTTTGTAAAAGACTTAACAAAATTATTAAATCTAAAAAGAATTATAATTTGAAGTAGTTTTTGATCAAATGTTAACATTGTACTTAATTTTATGATGAGCACCAATAATTGAAATAATTGTTTATAAATGATCGCTTTTGAAAACATCGTCTGGTGAGCAATTAGTAAAGACAGATCTGTATGAACTTCGATTCCTCTTTATATAAAAATCTAGAAGTTAGGTTAAATTCGTTCTTATCAGCAACAAAACGCCGGAAATTCTTCTAAATTAGTTTTATAATATCACATGATCCCAATAGGAACTTTGACCTAATTATCAACTGGCATAATGATTAATTTAGTTGAAGTCATAAATTGAAATATTTGACCCTTATTGGATCATATTATTATTAGCAAGGGTCACTATTTATGATTGTGGTCAGGTGTCATTTCACTTTTCATCTGTCGCATTGACATTATTAAACATAATCTACCTTAGACTTTTTGTCAAAAGAGCGTTATTTCTGTTATTTACAGTGATTTTTAAATTGAGTATTCGCGAAAAAATTGAATTAATGTAAGAGAATTTTCGTGCGATGATTTATTACGACTTTCGACTTGGATTATCAAGACAAGTGTGCATTGATCAACTTACTTACATCGCTCCATGCTTGGCTACTGTGAAACGCTAATGCAATAATAATCTTAATTGCGAACTGTGACGAAATTCGTAAAAAACTGATAATGCAATATCGTCATGCGATATGCTGTGAGATTAAGGGTATTAGAACCCTAGACATCAGTTCCACCAGCAAATATAAAATATTCTACGATCATTTAGCTGTGAGAAAGGTTTGTTCTCGTTAGATCCCCCATCAGTTGACAAAATCTCAAAAAGATGCTCGTCGATTGGTGCACACAGCACACAAATGCTCAAGAAGTACAATGGCAGTGCTTCAAACGACATATACCTATAAGATTGTAACAGGAGACGAGTCTATGGATACGAATCTATGCGTATAAGCCGGTACAGTCGACTGTATGCGTGTTTTAAGATGAACCAAATTCAACAAAAGTTGTTCGCGCTCGAAAGACCTTCAAAACATATGGTCGCTTGCTTTTTCGGGAAAGCTGATCATGTGACAACTCTATCATTACAAGAATGTAAAACGGTCAATTCCAAATGGTATACAACAAAAATAGTATAGTATAATTATTATACACATAAAAATGAATTATTTAGTATAAGTTTGTAGAATTAATTATATTACATCATATAACTTTTGTGGATATGTTTTGGTTACATACGTTCCACCCTCAACAAAAAGACGTATGTATTTTATAATTGAATATATCATAATTATAATGTACCTAACTCTATTCAAGGCAGTTTAATTGAAATTAAGTGCCAATGGACAAATTATCGTTGCTTCTAAAATTTATAAAATACTGTGGCTATCAAAACAAGTACACATAAAATAAAAACAATTAAAATATGATTTGAAACTTGTTTTCTTCAAATAAATTTTTATAAAGTGATATAAATATATATATATAGAGAATATATGCATATGTACATATGTCCCTTCATTTTTTTTTTACATTGCTTGTTTTCTTCAAGTAAATAAGCAAACATTTTCTTTCATTAATAAATTTTTACAAAAAATTGATCTGCTTAAAGCAGTAAAAATTAGCAACAATTTGCTTTGCCTAGTAAAGCCGTCATATAAACAATTGTTACAAATGTATGTTGTGATCTTACTTTCTTTAACAGAATTGTATTAATTTCTGTTAAAATCATAATAACAAAATATACGGTGTGTAGAAAATGTGGATTGTGTTCATTGGACACCTAATGTTGGTATGCTTCAACGAAAGCTCTAAAGTGTATAAGAGCGAACTGCGACATCTTATAGAATTTATTATTTTTGTTCTATGATATTTAATTTGAGAATTGTAAGACAACAACTTATATTATTTCGGAATTGACTTATTTTGTTCAATAAACTAAACACGTTAATTAAATAATTTTAAATAATTTAATAATTTTAAATAATTTAATTTTAAATAATTTTTCTGTAGGCGAAACGAATTAATTTTTATTACTTAATGTATTATATTACAATAATATATATTATGTATTTAATTTTCTCTTCAACAAAGACTGTAAGATTTATTATTTTTTCGAAATTATATATATAAGGTATAATAGGTAACGTACAGTACTATCAAAAATTTTAAACATAATCCAAATTATAAAAACCATTAACATACCTAAAATTAAAATTTAAACAGAAATTAAAAGCATACTTTTAGGGTGAGGTATAAAGTTTTTTTTTTTTTTAATAAAAAAATTCAATTTGCACATTGAGGTAATTTTACAAAATTAAAATTTTTTTGTAAATTTAAATTTTAATGAAATAATAGTTTTCATTAATTAGCTAATTTAAAGAAAACAAAAATTAAATATATTGGATGCATTCTATTACCTAACCACAGCCAAATAAATCAAAATTAGAAAAAATAAAATATTACTAATACTATTAATTCATAATTGTTTACATCATTATTTTATAAAACAAACATAAAATGAATAAGAACACGACAATATTTAGTTGAATATAACATAAGAGTTGTTTTTTTACAACTTTCAATTATATATATAGTTTTTAATGAACAATTTTTAATTTATTTATAAAACAAGTGAACTACATATTACCTTGTTTTATTTTATTTTTTATTTTTTTTTGGAATGAATATTGTGAAAAGTTGTGTATAAATGCAAATTTTTTTTTCAAATTTAATTGTGGATGACAAAATAAAAAAATAAAAAATTCCAATAGAAATAATAAAAAATTGCATGTAACAATACCAAAAACAAAAATACAAAATAAAAAATTTTTCGAAAATACTCCATAAAAATCTCTATCCAAACATTTTTAATATATTAAAATAATTAAAAAGTAAACCTCTTCACTCCACTAACGAATCAGTATGCATCTACCTTCTATTCAACTAAGCTTAAATGTATATGAATGTATATGAATTTAGTGACCAATTACCACCAAAAAGCACGAAAATGCCAATATCGGAAAAATAAGGAAATATAAAGCCTGATAGCTGAGAACCACTATAAAAAACAATAATTCTTTAAAACATTTCTATATAAACACTAGCGGACCCGACAGACTTCGTTCTGTCAAAAAGATTTGGAATGTGGCAGTTTTTTGTTTCTACCTATTTTATAGTCGGGGCAAAAAAATCTTCTGAACAGAACAGTCACCCTGGTGTGTGGGGTTCAGTTTCTTTTCTTTCAAGAACTTTGGCCACCCTTTTGGGATCCATTAAAAAACCCCGACTGCCAGAGGGTTTCAAACTAAGAGGCGAATAAGGGTTCAAACCTGATTGGAAAATAATCTCAAGGGACAGTGGAAACCTAAAGGTGACAAATATGTAAAAAGTGGGTAGCTCGCTTGGATAGTAGAGATAATGATCTGCAAAGGAAGTCATGGGGATTTAATTAACATACCTACAATAATCAACAACTTATTACAACACACAAACTTATCTATTCCGGTTATGTTCTTGTCTTTTTATATGTAAAGATGAATCGAAAAATGTTTTGATAAGCGCATAACTTAACAACGCCTGAACCAATTTGAAATTAGCAATAATTCGATTTTTTCTCGCCGTAAAAACCATCCTTCGACTTCAACTCATATTTAAAAAATATAATTGACCAAATTGGTCCAGACGTTGTTGAGTTATACGCTTACCAACACATTTTTCAATTCATTTTTATATATAAGATTTTCAGACTAAAAAAATGCAGCTAAGTTTTGTATAGAATCTCCTGTATAAATAAAATATACTTACTATGCACAGAACCAAGGCAATTGTTATTTTTCCTTAGTAGTTTAAAACAGAGGTAACTATTTGTACAGAGTTACCCCGGTCCGCTGTTGTCATTGGCGTTCACACCCGTTCCCTCGAGTTAGGATAGGCTGTATAAAAGATCATGCATAGGTCGATAGTATCCTACAATTATAATGTAGTAAGTTAAAACTGGTTATATAATCCAGTTTTTGTGGATTAATGAACGATAAATGCAATTTAATATACTTGTGATTCATACATTAGAAATGAACGCACGGTTCGGCAAATTCTCATCTTAAAATTCGCGCCATGCTGTATATTTATTCGGAATATTTTAAAGTATTTATGATTAGTTGTTGGCAGACACTGGTTCCCTTTTAATTATAAGTTTGCCAAAAATGAGCTCGATCTGTCAGACAGTTCGTTTACGGCAGCTGTTGAAACCAGTTCACCTCAGTAGTGCGTTGCGAAATGTCTTCGACGGTCGTACGACCGTCCTGGAAGGCTTTGTACCACTCATAAACTTGAGTTTTCGATAAAACTGATTCCCCATAAGCCTTTTGTAGCATTCGCAACGATT